GTGCCGCCGTCGCCGCCCACGCCGTCACCATCTCCGCCGGCGCCGCCGTCGTCTTTTGTCGTTGACGTAGCCGCAGGAGCCATCCTCGCCTTCGTCGGCGTCGTCCTCCTCCTCCTCCTCCTCCCCCTCCTCCTCCTCCTCCGCTGCTCACAGAACGGAGGGGGGACGCATGCGGGACAAGGATAAACCGCAAAGCTACCTCAAACCCTGGGGGCTACAGAACCCCCCACCCCTAGGGATCCCATCGGCGATTCCCCTGCTCTACCCAGCATGGGGCCCGAGCCCGATTGCGAGGATGTCCCGAGCGAAAGGGGGGACCAACACCACCAGGGACCCTCCCACCGGGCAGGCCGACGGGGTCCCCGAAACACTGGGGGCGGTTCACCCAACCCCGGCCGGTGAGCGCAAGGAGAACCAGCCAACAGCGACAAGCCCCCACGTTCGATTTGTCAGACGCCAGGCTGAGGCTCCGCTGCCCATCGGGAATCGCCACCCCTCAACGCTCCCACGATCCTCCCAATTCGTGCGCGGGCAATGTGGGCGCGCGGTTACTTGGTCGTTTATCTTTCCTGGTTGGGTTCCCTGGAGGCGTTCGTGTCGCTCTTCTTCTTCCGATCAGAGGAGGTACCGATGCCACCACCCGTCCCTCGTTATCGCATCCTTCGGGGCCTGCTGGGAGGCCCTCGTCGCCAGGGCTGCATTCTCCCCGAAATTCGGCTCAAAGCACCCCCGAGGGGTCTGGGAAGTAGCGACATCGGAAGCCTTTGGTTTCCTCATCGTCGCCGCGGCTGCGGCTGCCGTCGTAGCCGCAGCTGCCGAGGTCCTCATCGTCGTCCTCGTTACTGCCGCCGCCCCGGGCGACAAACCGTGACGGGCACCAAATATAGCTGCAGCATGATCCAATACTGAACTCCAGGGTGTCCCAACTATCAATGCGCGGTGACGGAATCCGAAACGTTGGAAAATGCCACACCCGCGAAACGACCGGAGACGCGACAATCCCAGAGAGCAGGAGGATGCGGATGAGGACAGGCGGCGGAAACGACGTGGCGGAGACGGAGGAGATGGAGGCGGCAGCGGATGACGATGATAAGGGTGATGGTGGTGGTGATGACGATAATGTTGATGCTGATGATGATGCCGATGATGGTGATGGCACGAACAACGAAACTGGGCCACTGCAGTTGCTGGCCACAAGTTTGCGCCCAAATGAAAATACCGAGGCATTAACGCCATACCATTGTCGACGGCGGCCGCTCACTCAACTGGCCGCCGTCGCCGTGGCCGTCGCCAGAGTCAGGTGGCGGCGATGCAAAGACGACACCGTGGCCCTCGCCGCCGTCGCCGTAGGGCCGTCGTCGTCGTACTCGCCGTAGTCGTAGTCGTAGTCGTAGTCGTCGTCGTCGTCGTCGTCGTCGTCGTCGTCGCCACCGTCGTCGTCGTCGTCGTCGATGACTTCTCGCTCAACGCGCCACCGCCGTCATCCCCAGAGCTCCGACGCCGTGAACTGTTCATATCGTGGAACCCCAGGAGGTGTCAACTTTCCCCCAGGGCTGGCTTCTCCTCCCGAATATTGCTGCTGAGGCTGAAAAAAAGAACAAAGGTCCACCGCCAACTTTTGCCCGCTACATGTTCTCAACGTGCCTCCCGCCGCCTCCCACGGCCGGTCTCTGACCATTCCCATTGCACGAAGTGCAACATTGGTAAACCAAAACCCGGCCCAGCCTGGCCCGAACACGTTGTGTGCCGCATCGCCGCGCCAACAAAAATCAGATGTCACGCAACACCAAGCATCGCCGCGTCGACCCTTCCCCTGGACCGTAAACGCTTTCCGAGAGCCCCGGATCGGGCATGAACTGACCTGGCTCGCCGCAACACCTGGCTCGGGCAATCTAGGAAAGACTGCGCCGCAGCTGTTTGACTGAACCCAATTCAACCAACATGAAAATCCACCTCCAAGGCCCCGCCAGCCCATAAACCTGGCCTGGCAGAATCTTGGAGGCCAAGACATGGGCACCAACCCCCATAAAGGGGGTTGCCTCAACAGGGGGAAGGTGATCCTAGATTTCGGTGTTGATGGTAATTTTTCGGTCACCTTGAAAGCCAGAATATTATCACCATCACCGAGATCGGGATCTTCTTCCCTCGGTGGAGGCACACCGCCAATATTGGTGTTGGTGTCAAGCTCGAGGCCTGCGAGAATCCAAACTTCGCAGGATCCCGTAGCATCGGGCGCTCTTGGGCTGAGCCTCGCTTGCGCTGACACTCCCGTGGCCTGACAGCCACCCAAAGCACGGGAAGGGCCCCCGGAGTCCGAGGTCGGCCCACATCCATGCGTACGATCTCCTGATGTGTGCATTGCTCGCTGCCCAGGAATTCCGACCCTCCTCCCCAATGCCGACTCGTCATCGTGAGTCGTTTTCTTCGAGGCCTCCTAGAGAGGTCGGAGCAGGGTCGGACGATGGCGCCGCATCGCCGATGCATCGGCGATGCATCGAAGATGAAACTGGCGATGCATCGTGGACGTCGGCCTAGCATCGGCGACGTCGACGTGAAGCAAATCGGGCTGCACATCGAGCCGCATCGTCGATGCATCGGCGATGCGGCTCGATAAGGATGCGCGATAAGCTTCCTCCTCCTCCCAGAGCGAGAAGGATCCGCAGAACTGACAGTAAGGATGCGCGATAAGGATGCGAGGGCCTTGGACGCCCGTGCCGAAGCCCTTCGAGGGGGGCTGGTCATCGGCAGCCGTTGCGGATGCACCGAGGATGACTCGGGTCGGGCGAAAGGGGGTGATAGCAAAGGGGGGGTTTGAGAATCAGCTCGCGTAGCTGATTTTCCCGGCGCCTCCCGGCGCTGGAGGCGGCTATGTATCGAGGAATGGGCCCCTCGGTGAGGCCGAAACCAGCTGCATGTAGCAAATTTCGTAACCCCCCCTTTCCCAATCCCCCCCCTTTCGCCCGACCCGAATGACCGAAGAGGCGAGGATGCCAAGGCAAGAGGAAACCAGGACGAGGACAGCACCGGGCGAGGCCAAATCGAGAACCTCTGAGAGCCGGCGGCCCTGGAGCATGTGTCGGGCGCGGCGGCCGTCCCACAGCGGCCCGGGACGCTCCGAGAGCGTTCAAAAAACGCCCTGGAGCCGTCCTGGCCCCGTCCTCCTCCTCCTCCTCCTCCTCTTCCTCCTCCTCCTCCTCCTCTTCCTCCTCTTCCTCTCCTCCTCCTCCTCCTCTCTCGTCTTCCCCCCTCTCTCCTCCTCCTCCTCCTCCTCCTCCTCCTCCTCCTCCTCCTCCTCCTCCTCCTCCTCCTCCTCCTCCTCCTCCTCCTCCTCCTCCTCCTCGTCCTAGCCCCGTCCTGCCAGGGGTGCCCTCGTGACGCCTGCAGTCTCCCAGCGGCCCGCGCGGACCTCTGCGAAGGCGCTGCGCCCCCGGCGCGCGGAGCGGGGCCGGGCGCGGCGCCAGAGGCGCCGCCCGAGGGGGGGGGCCCACCGCCGGTCCCCGGAGCTCCGCACGGACCTGCGGGGAAGTCCCGTGCAGGCCGTGCTGGCCCGTGTTCGTCTCCGCGGAGAGGCGGGGGGGGAGGTTCGCAGGAGGGCAGCTCGTGGGCGGCCTGCGGCGGAAAATGATCAAGGGCCGCGGAGCCCGAGTGAGAGGCCATGGAGCTGGATCAGGCCCGGGATTGAGCCCGTTCGGGCCAGACTGGGCCGTGGCTTGAGCCAAACTTTCGACCAGGGATATACCAGCCCCGATTCAGCATTTGACCTCCCAGGAGGTGTCCCCTACAGGTTTGGAGCGTCGCCGTGGGTCCCCACGTAGATCCCGACGTAGGGTCGTGGTAGTGAAAGGGTTACCTTTTAGAGACCTCTGTCCCACGCTTAGTTAATACGCTGGTGTGTCTAATGAATCGGCTTCTGCGTTATAATGAACTGTTCTGGCGTGCTTCCTACAAGTGGAGCTATGGAACAAATCCATGTCTCGCTTTCCTGACATGTAGTTTTACAACACATGTTTATGATATGAGCAGTCCTTCACTGCCACTGCCTGGATCACCGCTGCGGTTGCAGAAGAGATATGGGGGTTCATGCCAGCCTAGCCGCTTACAAAAAAGGTTGCAAGTGCCCTGCGCGGCTTGCCAGGAACAGAGATCTGCACGAAGTGAGCGAAGCCCACTTAGCAGACTTACCCAACCCCTTTGAAGCCCCTCAGGGCATGTATAGCCAATTTGAAAGCTGGGACACGCCAGATAGAATCCATTTGAGCATTCACGTATAACCCTCCTATACAGTAGCAGCCTCAGCGGTGACCCATGCACCCCCGAATTGTCAGGTCAGCCCCAGACGCTATCCGGGCTCACTGAGACCGCGCCAGCGCGGCGGTCTCAGCACCCCAACCCTGGAGCACGGAGCGCCCCAGCGGCGCCGCCCGAGGCGGCGCCGGGGTGTTGGGACGGCCCGGGCCTGCTCGGGGGCCGCAGGAGGCCAGCGGGGACTACTCCATGGGGATGTGCAGGCCAACTGGGACTACACTTCGCTCGGGCGTGTCCCCCTACAGGGGGTGGGTGACAAATTCGCCGGCCCAACGGGCCAGAGGCGTGCTAAGATCTCCGGTAACTGGTTAACAATTTTCTAGTTCGCGCGCGCGGGGCGGCCCCTGGGGGTCCCCGGACGAAAAGTACCCCGACCAGGTCCCGGCCGGTCCCCGGCCGGGTCCCGGCCGGGTCCCGGCCGGGTCCCGGCCGGGTCCCGGCCCGAGCGCTCCATGAGCGCACCAACAGGGCTCCGAGACGTCCCCGAGAGCCCCAAGAAAGGCCAAGAGGCCCCCAAGAGGCCCCCAAGATGGTACACGAGGGGTCCGACATGCCACAAGATCGCTCCAAGACGCCCAAGATAGCCCCCAGACGCCCCAAGAGGCCTCCAAGAGCACTCCCAATAGGGCCCCCGGAGGCAAAAATCATTGTTTTTCCATAGGTTTTTGAGAGATTTTGGAGCTTCCACCTTTTCG